CAGCAGGAAGATGGTAGGTATGCATGAACTTCTCTCCAGAGGCCTTGTATGCGGCCTAAAAGAATTAAGTTGCGGGAAAACAATAATAGAAGATTAAATCTATTTTGAACAACGTGACACTGATTTTTCCAGCAAACTGTGTCACTTTGACCCATTTTCTTCAAAAAAAAAATATAGTAGAGTAAAATAAAATCCATACATTTGTACAGTTAAAAGTGAAGTATTTATACCTGGTCCATCTGCTTTGAGTTGGTCATAGCCAGAACCATATTCATGGCATCGGTCTTGCTGGTGTGTTTCAAAGTGCTAGGATGCTGGCGGTAGCCGTGCTCATCTAGAGCAGCTTTGGCCGTCTTGGCCTTCTCAACATCCAGAGAACCAATGGGCACCCAACCTGATCCTTTGTAGTAGTTGGTATATTCTGATTTGTAGACATTCTGTGGACACGGAGAGGTACAAAAATATATACATCATTATGAAGATTATTTTTGGGTTGGTTGGGGAGATGTCCTGATGGGAAAGCATACGTCACTCTGGATGTCCATCATGTTGCGACACCTCTGCAGGTGCAAGTTGTCAGGCAGCAGCAGGAAGCTGTGAGGGATCTGCTTGTATCCAGTCATGGTTTGAACCTTTGAGGCCTGTTTGGCATGGACCACACTCAACATGTCCACTGGGGTGTGGTACTTCAGCTTGGACTTGTGGTAGTCCTTCTTGTAGTTCTTTTCACTCTGCATCTTGGCCACTTGCATGTAATGGACCAGAAGAGGGTCGTCCTGGAGGCTACGGAAGCCCACGTGGTGACCTCTGGCCTTTTCGTAGGCCAGTTTGTACTTGTACTGCAATAACAGAAACGTTAAGGTTTTAGGAAATTATCAGACCAAATGATAGTAACATCAAGGTCAGGAATTCATAGTAGCTCAGTAAACTTTGAAATGGTCTTGAGTTAAATAATAAGTTAATTATACAATAATTGTAATTATCTGTCATTATTTGTAAGCAAAAATGACAAATAGTTACCAAAAAAAGAACCTAAAAGAATATCTTAAATTAGCTTTAAAATTAAAGTAAAAGTGGACTGAAAAACCATAATACAAGCGTTTAAAGGTTAGATTCAAAACTGTACAAACAATAAGCTAAATTGCCGATGCAGTACTGCAATTTCTCCACATAGACTGTGTTTGTATATTCATAAACATGTTTGTGTAACCGTAACAGAAAAGATTGTGTCTTATTGGTTATTGTGATGACCAGTTCTTACATTGCTGGCAATGTCTCTTGAGCTTCTAGCGGCGACAACAGAAATAGCATCTTCCTTCACGTGATGTCCTTTAAGCAGATCTTGACGGTGTTCATACTTGTAGAAGTTCTATGCACGAAAAACAAAATCTGCGTTATATCTGCGACTGTACAATATTCCTCTAAAATGTTCTGTCTGTTTGCACAGTCAGTTTGACCGACCTGGCTGATGTTGCAAGCATTGTATCTGGCCTGCAGCAGTTCAGGTGTATCAGCGGGCAGATGGTACGTGTGCATGAACTTCTCTCCACTGGCCCTGTAGTCTTTCTGCACAGTTGCAACAGAGGAATGTGTTTATATCCATTTTAAAGGAGCAGATTAAAGACTAATACCAGGAAATTAACACAAAGTGGTTTTAATTTTTACTGACCATATTCAGATTTCTGGAATTGGTCTTGGCCAGCTCCATGCTCATGGAGTCCACAGGACTGGTGAATTTGAGAGTGTCAGGATGCTGACGGTACTTCCTCTCATCCAGAGCTGCGGAAGCTGCTTTGGCCTTTTCCACGTCCAGGGAACCAATGGGAACCCAGCCGACTCCCTTCACGTAGGACTCGTATTCCTGTTTGTAGTTCACCTGGGGAAAAAAAAAGGTTGATGAGAAATTGTACTTGAGTTGCAAGAGTGTCATAATACAAAAAAAAAATAGCTTTGATGGTCTCTCACATCGCTGGCGATGAAGTTCATGTTGCGAGCCAGCTCCAGGTTCATGGCACCAGGTAGAAGACAATAGTTATGGTGATGCTGTTTATAGCCAGCATTGGTCTGAACCTTTGAGGCATGTTTGGCATGAGCCAAACTTATCATGTCTACAGGTGAGTGGTACTTCAGCTTGGCCTTGTGGTAGTCCTTCTTGTAGTTCTTTTCACTCTGCATCTTGGCCACTTGCATGTAATGGACCAGAAGAGGGTCGTCCTGGAGGCTACGGAAGCCCACGTGGTGACCTCTGGCTTTATTGTATGCTTTCTTGTACTGGACCTAAAAGGACAGATATGGTTCTCTAAATATCCATCTCTTTGAGTACAAGGAAACACTGTGAATCTCTTCTTTTGAAATGCCAAACAATTGTGAGAGATATTTCATAAGGTTTTACGAATACTTTATGCAGATGATAATGTTATTTACATTATATCATGTCCCAAACAAAGTCTTTGACACCCTTGAAAAACGTTCTTTTGAAATGCCAAACAAATTTGTGAGAGATATTCCATTAGGTTTTACAAATACTTTATGCAGATGATAATGTCTTTTTATATTATATCATGTCCCTAACAAAGTCTTTGACACCCTTGAAAAACTTACATCACTGGCTGCATGTCTAGCAGCCTTAGCAGCGATAACAGAGATAGCATCGGGCTTCAGGTCATAACCTTTAGCGATAAGGTCTTCCCAGGCCATTTTGTAATAGTTCTGAAAGGACAACAAAGAAGAAAGAATGATTAGAATGGACACTTCACTAGATGTAAAAATCCCATTCAGGATCTGGTGCTTTTTAATTGAAAATTGGTGTTTCAAAATGTCCAACTCATGTGATCTGGCAGATTTACCTTGCTGATGTTGTAGGCGTTGCACTTGGCCTGCTGTAACTCTGGGATGTCAGGAGGCAAAGAGTACTTCTGATGAATCTCCTCAAGACCACTCTTGTAGAAGCGCTGTTAGAGGAAAAAGGAGACGAAGCAGAAGTCAATCATGTTAATTAATGTTTATTGGGTGCAAAAGCCTCTTTCCGTAGAAGCAATAACAAAATCTAGGCTGAAGCTTACATCGCTTCTCTGAAGCTGGTTGACTTTAGCCTGCATCATGACGGGATGGTCATAAATCGCTGTGAAGGGGACGGTGTCTGGGTGCTGTCTGTATTTTCTCTGTAAAAAACAAAAATGATTATATAATGGGTTCATTGGTCGAAAATATAAATGCTAAACACATTTAGCAAAATTGCTAAAAATCTCATACCTCACTGAGGATCTCGCCTGCCTTCTTGGCCTTCTCCACATCCATGGAGCCATAGGGGATCCAAGGAGTTCCTTTGGTGTAGGCGTTGTAGTCGGCCTTGTACTCATTCTGACATATAAATGAAAGAATAAAAAAAAAAAAAGAAGAAGAAATGTTAACCTCATGATAAATTTAGTTAAAAATCGTATTTAGATCAAACTGATACTCCACAGTGTGGTCTTACGTTGCTCTGGATGACGTTGGCTTTTTTGGCCAGGTCCAATAGGACGCTGTCGTAGGGCAGGAAGTAGTTGGGACTGATCTTCCTGTATCCAGTCATGCTGGCAATTCCCTGGGACTTCTTAGCCAAGGTGACCGACATCATGTCCAGTGGTGTGTGGTACTTGGTCTTCTGCTTCTCGTAGTGCTTTTTATATTCACGCTGTGGAAACAACACTTTATGTCCTTCAATGGTTCAAAGCATTTTTGCTCTGGTTCATGAACTGTGATCTTAATTTTGATTTTCTTTCTATGGGCTGTATTTAACAAATGAATGCTTTTCATTTTCATTAATTTTTTTCAGTGTATTCGTCTAAAGCAACATGTACTTTTCATTCATTTCAAAATGTTCAATGATCCTTTATTTTGTTATGGTACAAGAATGCTCAGAATAATCTTTGTTTTAACATTACTGATGATGCTGTCTTTGCCTTTAATAAATAAATACATATGTAGAAAGATCATGTTTTTTCTCTAATGTAAGTCTAGTCAGTTAACAGTAAAGTAAAAATGTCAGTAATTTAGTTCAGGAGAAGCTAACGACTCACATCACTCTGGATTTTGGCCACGTGAACAGAGTGCAGGATCTTGGGGTCGTCGTTGATACTGAGGGCTCCCACCATCTTGCCCTTGTTCTTTTCAAACTCCTTCTTATACTTAACCTGCAAAGAAAAGCAGCAGGTTGTCATTTACGCCACTCATTAAGGGCAATAGACAACAAATACAAATTTAGCAAACTTACGTCACTGGCGATGTTGGTGTGAGCGCGAGCGGCGAGGATCGAGATGGCGTCGCCCTTCACCTCGAACTTTTTGGCCTTGTTTTTCTCCCAGTCGTACTTGTAACAGTTCTACACGGAACAGGTGAAGGCGTTTACTTAGTTCAGTTTGAACTCTTACTGAGAAGTTTTTCCTCGTTCAGATGGAACTTACGTCACTGAGGTTGAAAGCGTTTGCTCTGGATTGAACGAAGAAGGGGAAGTCTGGAGGCAAACTGTACTTGACCTTCATCTCCTCGTAGTGTGCTTTGTAATTTAACTGTGGGAAGAGCAGAGCCACAAAATGAATACAAAAGAAGTGCGTGTCAGTCGCTATGTGATTTCTTTGCACCAGAGGGCAGTCTTGCACTCGGTGGCTTCGATGTGAGGCACACTTGACTTGTCCCCCCCTTTTTTCATGCCCACCCTCTGATCACAGGGTTTATTCCGGGTCTCATGAACACACGCTGCTATTTTTACATCACAGAAAGATGGTTCTCCAGTTTCCATGGTGCCCACAGAGAGACAGCTGAGCTGCCTGCATGATGGGATTCATTTCAAGGTGATCTGCATGTCTGGAAACTCACTCATCTGGTACATTTAGAATGGCCTTTTCACCATTAATGTCATTATATAGACACAATACATAGAGAGATGTGCAAGACATTGATGGTGCACACATTCACTATGGCCTCCTTTTTGCATTATTTTTTCTGTTACGAGTATTTAAAGCAAATATCAAGAACCAGAAACTCATCCTCAACAACGTTAAACATTTTCCTGTCATTTTTGTAATGAACTTGATGCTTTTTAAGCCTTGAAAGTGATCTGTTCACAACCTTGTTTTCTGTTCTTTACTCACTTTCTGTCCTATTTTAAGGCCACGCCTCCTCACTTTGTTGTTGTCGTTGAACCAACCAATGGGGTGCAAGAGGGTACTACATGTATAAATCTGTTAAAACCTTTGAACAGTCCTGGGCTGTATATATAAAAAAAAAACTTGTTGCTGTATATAAAGCCCACTGCTCACAGCTGTAATTGTAACTGAAAACATCAGGCAGATTTTTCTGACAATTTCTCAACCTAATAAACAAAGCATCAGTTCTGATGCTTTAACACAGTTGTATTTTACCAAGCTGTTTTCAGGCAGTTCAGTTCAATGGTACTTACGTCACTCAGCTGCTGGGCGTTGATGGCAGCTTGAACCATAACCGGTGAGTCTGTCACTTGCGTAAATTTCACTTTGTCTGGATGTTTCCGGTATACTTTCTGTAAAAAAAAACAATGAAATAACATAAATTACAGACGCGATTTTAAAACATACAGTATGTATCGGCATTTTATCTGCCAAAATTTCTTACATCTTTACAGTCGTCAAGCTTCTTTGAAGCTTCATATTCGGGCGTAACAGTTTGAGGGAAGAAGCATCTGGTTTTCATATCTTCATAGTCTGCTTTGTACAATTGCTGCAAGAGATAAATGTGCAAATGTGTCACACATTTGTTAATAAAGTCTTCTGACCATGAAGTTCAAATGCCACTTACATCCTTCTTCATTTCCTCAACCTTCTGACAGTGAAGCATATAAAGATCTTCATAGCTGCCAATGTAGTGACCCTTCACCTCGTTTTCATACTTATCCTTGTAATGTGTCTGGAAAATGGAGACAAAATATTAGCTAGTATATGGCAACAGTATTTATATTTGATGTAATAATAAATCAAAGTCCTATCTGGTGCGTTGATCTTACATCGGAGAACCGTTTCAGTACGGAGTCCATCTGGAACTTGGGCGTGTCGCAATAGTTGATACTAAAACCTCTGGATTTCTCGTAGTTGTCCTTGTATACTTTCTGTCATTGTCAAGTCATATGATGAAAAAAGGTCAGTGGACAACAAAAAAGGTCATTCTAAATATTTGCCAAAAAAAAAAATCTAAAATCAATAAATTATGACAATCAGCTAAACACATCAATTCGCTTTATATTTGTTTCCATCTTTGCATCTTAAAAAATGTGTGCAAACGTACATCACTGAGAATGGTGCCAGCATATCGAAGCTGCCTGAGAAGAGGATTCTCAGTGGCTGGGAGCGTGTTATAGTCAGACTTCGCTTTTGTTTTCTCATAATCCTTCTTATATTGGACCTGTAAAAGAAGAAAAAAAAAATAGATATTATAGTGAGATTAGATTGAAAAAACAACTTATTTCTCATGTCTTTAGTAAAAATAGGCCAAATTGCAGTAAAGTAACATTGCGTTTTTTTATATAACCTTGTAGAGTAAGAGCCAAATACTCAATTAAAATTTGAAAATTTGAATAAACATTAAACATACACAGGCTCCTCACATTATGACATACTTGACCTACAGCATTTTGTGGCTACGTCGCCATGTCCAATATATTTATTAAGAAAGTCTTGTTTTATCATTCCGACACACGGCTTGAAAACAATTTTCACACAGGAACAAGTGGACGAGTGGAGTGGACAAATATATTGTCACACAGCATTGTTGACATTTGCCAGTTGTATGCCATATATAGTTGGACTGTGCTACATTCACTTTCCTGAACTTTTTTCGAAAACTTTACTGTGGCTTCCACGCGTAAATCGGACACTTCTGATGTTTTTATGTCCTAGATTATGATGTTGCCACTGTGTTAGTGTAGGTGAGTGACATAGGTACTAACGTAAAGTACATTAGTTCTGACTTAGGGCGTAAAATGGAGGTTTGTTTTATGTTTGGAACAACTTATCCTCTGGTAGAATTAGTGATCTAACCCGTACTCTGTGGATCAAGCAGCTGATGTGTGTGTTTCACTGAGTGCAATCACACGGTGATGAATCACACTCCACTCTGAGACACTGGTCAATGCTCTGCCGCATCTTCCACATGAGACAAAGCCTCTATAAATACTCCATAATCTGTGTGCTCGTGTGTGTTTGTGGGGACTCACCTCACTGGCAGCTATACGAGCCTTCTTGTTTGTGTCGTAAACAGGAGTCTCGGTCTGCATGAAATAAATTTGGTCTTTTGTGTCCTCAAAGTCCTGCGTGTACTTTCTCTGTTGGGAGAACACAGAAAAAGATGCTGTTACACCTGCAGCAGAACGGCGTGTTTTTTGTCTTTATGATTTATAAATGTCAGGTCAGACGTGTTGCAAAGTAACGGCGACACTTACGTGGCTGAGGTTTTCCATCGCCACCCTGGCAGTGGCCACATCAAAGTAGGGAGTCTCGCACCACTGACCCTTCACATTTTTATTGTAATCCTCTTTGTATTTCAGCTGTGTACAGAACCAGAAATACAAGCAACATTAGGAGACATAGCACTGAATAGCTTCTTACCACACATTAAGCTAGAAGGTAACGAAAAGACAGTTCAACTTAAAATGCTACAACTGTATAGGTAAAGCAAATAAATACAGTTCGTGAAATTAGCTTTTTATAAATTTTTATATTTTTTTTACTTTGCTTTTTAAGTTGTTAAAAAGTAAAGCAAATATTATATAAAAGACAGTTTGTGAAATTAGCTTTTTATAATTTTTTACTTTGCTTTTTAAGTTGTTAATAAGTGTTTTTTGTTAAATAATCTGTCTTATTATTATTATTTTAAAAAACTTATATAACTTATTAAGGAGTTATATATAGTTATGTGTATATATGTATATAACACTATGCAATATACTATTATAATATAAAACAAAATTGAGAAGCAAAAAATCTAAGAGTTAGAAAAGATAAGTAAAATACTCGTAATAAAAATCGTAAAAATTTTGCCAAAAAAAAATAAAAATCGTAAAAATTTTGCCAAAATGACCAGTTTCCTGAACAAGAATAAACAAGTAACAAGTACCAACAAGATCCAGGAATTAACTCAAAGTACACAGTAAAAGATAAAATTATATTTTTATAAAAAACAAAACAAAAGTAGGGCTACAGTGGAACTGAAAGGTCCCAGTGTTTAAAACCTTTTTTCATTACTCGCTCCAATTTTGCTACTTATGGTGTTAACTTATAAAATCTTATTAGCAGATGCTTTGTTCATTCAGAAGTTAGTGAAAAGGCATTGTTAATATGGAGCCGGTTAAAGGTGTCTGCTTACATCACTGCGCTGCTGGTCCGCTATCTTGGCTATCACCATTTCAGGAGGATCAGCCAGAGAGGTGTACTTGGCCTTGCGCTCGTGGTGACCCTTCTTGTACTGAATCTGTGCGAGAAGACGATGATTACAACTACAGTAGCTTACTTTTCCGACAATTTTCTGCAGTAAAGAGTCTAGTTGGAACTGAACTTACATCACTGAGGACTTCCTGAGCCTTGGCCACTCTGCGCAGCTCTGGACTGTCGCTGTATGGGCAGAACATGGTCTTCTCTTCCTCCCAGGCCTCCTTGTACAGTTTCTGAAGCGGGTGTAAAACCATGGTTTAGAGCGTGTTCTTAACAGGTAAAAAAAAAACAACTTCCTGTTTGTGGCAGGATTGTCCAGGGTTCTGATGCTCACGTTGCTGTAGTTGGCAGCGTTTTTCACAGCCAGAACCAGCTCAGGAGCATCAGGGGGCAGCAGGTACCGGTCCTTAGTCTCATCCCACTTCTGTCTGTACAGAACCTGCAGAAGACGATCAGCAGCGTGGGTGCTTCAGTGCTTCAGACAGGTATATCTTTGTTTTTCTTCATATTTAAGATGAGGAGTGGCGGCTCACCTTGCTGATCAGTTCAGAAACACGCTTGACATGAGCGATCTCCTTGGCCTCGCCATCGTACATACTAGTGGTCCGAGCCCTGTTTCCCTCCATACGATATTTAACCTGATCATCAGGAAGACATGATTTATTTCTGAATATATTTAGATTCAAAAAGGCGCGAAACCCTTTCACACCAATCATGATATCATCATTAAATAATTTCAAACTGAATCCAAATATAATAAATATAAACGTGTTGGAAAACAACCACATAAAATACTCAAATCAATCAAGTCTTTAAAGATTTTTTTCTCACCTAAATTCCTTCAATTTGAAGTTAAATTTGTTTAAAAAATATTATTATTAATTTTAATGAATTTTAAGTTTTTTTGGGTGTGTAATTATTTATAAAAAATAAAAAACATAAGATTGACTGTTGTTTTTACTTACAGAGTAAAATACAAATATTCTTGGTATTCATGGTATGTTAAACCAGGATCCTGACAATATGTACACTCAGTTCTCTTACTGTGTGTCAGACAAACAATTCCAATGATGATAACAACAGCTTCAGACCTACCTCACTCAGCTGCTCCTGGGCCTTCCTGATACGAATCATTTCAGGAGTTTCAGTCTCCACACAGGGAGGAGTTCCTCTGGACAAGTCGTAGGCCTGACGGTACTTGTTCTGTGGAGCAGAGGTACCAATTAAACCATCGTACAAGTAAACCTAATTAAAGGCAAACACGTAGTTATAATAAAGCTTAAATTCAACTTACGTGGCTGAACTGCTCCAGCATCTTCTGGCTGTGGGCCAGGTAAGGGGTCATGAACTTGGAAGTGTCCACTTTGCCCCTCTTTCTGACCTTCCTGATAGGGACGCCAGACTGAAGCAGGACAGAGGGGAAATAGTAAAAAAAAAAAAAAGTTTCTAACTAAGAGCAAAACATTCTCTCACAACACAACGGCTCATCACAGACACATTGTAACAGTATAAAAAACATTCTCTCACAACACAACGGCCAATCACAGACACATTGTAACAGTATAAAAAATATAAGCTGTATTTTGACCTTTTCTTTATGTACTAAATAATCTATTATCAGATATTATAAAGCTGATGTAACAAGCAACTTGTTTTTACCTACCACTCAAACCACTTACCTTTAATAGTTGAAGGGACACTAAAAATAAATTAATACATTCTATCTATATGTCTGGAGATGCAAGAAAATGCCTATTTGAGCAAGAAAAAAGCTGCACACCTATAAAAAAAAGCTTCTATAAAGGCACTGAGCATGCATCATTAGTCTGAGCAACGTGGAGTTGTACAGTTTCTAATGTGAGAAGAATGGCTGCAAGTATACAACTGTCCCTTAATTAGGATTTTTGTGGTGTAATAGTAATAAAAGTGTACAATATGGAAAAAAAAATGTGTTCAACTAAGGATTAGTTTTCCCCTGAAACCATACACTCTCAACATTGTCACAAAATGTAATCATTATCAAGTATCGGTCAAGCATATGTGGCTTAAATTTAAAAAGAAATAATACATTGTTATTATTATTTATAACACAAAAATTGTAAGAATGTATTTAAATATATAATAAACAATTTTTAAAAAATATTTAGACAGAAATCTAAGCAACATATTCCGTTATACCGACTATGTACAGTGAAACCTCAGTTTTTCGAACTGAATTAGTTTCTGAAGGTAATTCGTGAACTAAAAAGTTTGAACAGTTCCTAAACCAGCAATTCTCGGAGTTTTTGTTTGTTAAACAAACAAAAAGGTACCCCAAAAAAAACTTTGTTATCTATGGTTATTTATGGCAACACATTTTACAAATTTGTATCATGACAGAAAATTATAAATAACATGTATAAATGTTATTTCAGAGAAAGGTTTTTGAATGTTGTGAAATATGTGGAACATTAAGGGACCATGTTAGTGCTTAAAAAGTATTACATTTAAAATCTATTAATAACCATAAAGCATTAAAAATATTCTATCAATATTGCAATAGTAAGCAAAATGTTTAAAAAACAAGAAAAATAACTAAAAATCATTGGCGTATTGTTGCAGCCTTACTGTGACGTCACCCCGAACCCAAACTGTAAAAACCCAGGAAATACCCCAATAACAGTCCTTTTTCAAATCTCTTATAATATTCTATACTAATAATTTTATACGGCTAAAACTGAACAATATTTAAAGCTCATGCAGATGCTAAACAGTTGTTCTACACGAGCAGGAGTTGCTGTTTCTTTTACCTGGTGGAACTGAGTGGATTGCTCAGTAGTGACAGTCCCCGTGGTTGTTATCTGCTCAACATATTACAAATATAGACACACACACACACAAACTCTGGGGGTTCAAAACTGCCACAGCATGATATGGGAGAAACATGACAGAAATTCTGTTGCATTGAGGTTGATTTTTCTACAGCTCTGGCACACACCACTTGTTAACACTAGTCTCAGGGTTCTATGTTCTGTAATAGTGACAGTAACTGCAGTCTAATGAAGTCATTGCACAGAGGAAGAAGTAACGGTGAAACGCGAGCCTGATCGCTCTAAATCCGCTATAAATAGTCAATAGACACCAAAAACTGACGTGACACTAATTCTATTTTTATTTGTCATTTCCACACCTGTTGTTCCTGTTATCTGTTGCCACAGCGTGTTGCACATTAACACAGCCTTATAATCCGTTTGTCTGTCCAACCACAGCTCTCAGCTCTCTCTGCTGGTTTTTTAAAAAGATCTCTCTATTACCACCACCAACTGTAAGGTTTCACCATGCAGACAGGAGAGGGTTTATTTTTAACAGGTTTATTTAGCCTGCTTGTATGCTTTATTAAAGTACCCTTAAATTAATTCATTAAAGTATATGACACTCAAAAGACTTGGCTAGTCAGGTTAACCTTTATCTGGAAGGTCAGGGTTTTGATGCCAAGCTTCACTAGGCAAGACGCTTTGGCTTTGTACTAAAATAATTTTTCTACTGCATTTACCCCATCCATAAAACAATAGCGATAAGTTAGATGTGAGCAAACGTTCTGACTCCCGAGCCACAACTGTCCTAAAATTGAACAAGGGGGCCGGGTCAGGAGCAGATAGATGGAGCTTTCGTGTGAACTAAGATAAACGACATTTAAAAGTCATGCTTAAAGACTTATTTTTAATTTTTTTTAAAGATTTTTTGTACTTGTTCTACAGCCTAGGTGATTAATCTTTTAACCACTGGCATAGAGAACATTTCTATTTCTTTGTGTCTGAGATACAAATTCAATAGGGCAAAGAAAATCACTGGTGCGCAAAGTTTGGTCTTTCTGTATGGAGTTTGCATGTTCTCCGACTTCCTCCCAAACCCAGAAACACGGTGAATAGGGAAGTAGATTGATAATCTGGCGAACTATCGCATTCGCCTGTTGATAGCTAAGATTGACTCCATTTTTGTTTTACTGAACATTTAATGACACCAATATAGCACAGTACGCCTTGAGCAACAAGACCCTAACCCTAACCCTGCTGGCCTGGAGTAGTACTGCATGTAAAACTACTTCCCAGGTACCGCAGCTTACAGTAAGTGAGAGATAGCGCTGCACAATTAATCAACTATAATCATAATTACAATTTTGGCTGCCACAATTAAATGAAGATGACTGTCACAACATTAACATTGAAAGTGGGCTCCATAAAAATCAAACAGCATTTGTTACGCTAACTTTATATGGTTTCTCAATTATCAGGCCTGACAGACACTAATTCCATTATTCATTGATCATTAATAAAAACAGTTAGCTAAAAGGCTTGTGTTTTAGCCTTTGTAGTGCTGTTGACACATAATATATTGAAAATTTTAAGCAATGCCCTGCTTATTAACATGCATCAGTTGGAATAATTAACACATGCACAATACACTAGAAAAAGGTAAAAGCTGTGATGCCTTTCTGGGGTTGACACAGCAGATGAATGCATGGTGATAATACCTTATGTAAAAACAAGGGGCAACCTTTTTTTACACCAGATGCCTTTTTTATAGCCACCTTCACCCGTCACTGGGTTTGGGTCGAGCATTGGTAGTTTATTTTGAGGTAATTTTGACGTTTTAAGGTTAATGACAGAATGGTTAAATAACAGGGGCCGGTGACAGTCTGTAGGTCATTTAGTTCCAGGCCGCAGTGGAACACCATGAATTTACTTAAAAAAAAATTCAATATTTCAAAGCAATAGGTCATTCGGACTCCGATACTAACAGAATAAAGTCTATACATAATATATTGAAATAATTAACACATGCACAATACACTAGAAAAAGGTAAAAGCTGTGATGCCTTTCTGGGGTTGACACAGCAGATGAATGTATGGTGATAACACCTTATGTCAAAACAAGGGGCAACCTTTTTCTTTTTTACACCAGATGCCTTTTTTATAGACACCTTCACCCGTCACTGGGCTTGGGTCGAGTATTGGTAGTTTATTTAGACTAAACGTTTTCAGGTTAATGACAGAATGGTTAACGTCAGGAGTCTGGGGACCAGTGCCAGTCTGTAGGTCATTTGGTACCGGGCCGCAGTGGAACACCATGAATTTACTTAAAAATTCAATTTCTCAAAACAATAGGTCACTCAGACTCCGATACTAACAGAATAAAGTCTAAAAGATGTTTTATGTTTTATTTGATGAGTCTAAACTTCAAATCATTACATACAGATGTAAGATGTATCTACATCTTAAATAATAATAATAAAATATATAACGTAAGCACATATGCCGTATACACGTATTTGCTCCATATATGTCATATTTTGCTGCACAAAAATTGCAATACTCTTTCTGCATTGGCTTCACCCAATGAGATAGACTTTCACGATCCTGACTAAAGCTGCACTTTCTCCTCTATTGGTTGCTTCCAGCATAAAGTGTTAAAACGATGCCAACTTGTGAACCTGTGATTAACCCATGCATGTAGCTTCACGGACTTCAATTCTGTCGTGAGACAGCAAGTCTGACTTTCTCAAAACCATAAGAAATTAAAAATGTATAAATAAAATACAAAGTAAGTGCAAGATTTGTAAGATGCTGAGGCGTCCTGCACAGAGTGGGAACCCTAGTTACGCTGCAAGCAGGCTTTTGGTTCCTCTGGTTTTCTACAACCAGGCTGCATTCAAACATTTTATGTTACATATATGTTTTCCTTGAATGCAACTATTTAAGTTTTACAACATGTTTTAACAAAAAAAAAAATATTTAAAATTTGAAACCAATTTTGCAAATTTTGGATTTTAGAAGTACCAAACAGTTCTGTGGACTGAATTCAATCTGTTTTGCACCTAACAACATCACTCCTTAGTAGCTCTATGCTTTCTTGGCTTCATTACAATGGAAATTTTCGGTCTGTGGGTATTATATTTTATATTTTCTTAACGTTTCTATGTTACAAGGTACTGCTGAATTGAGAACATGAACGGGAGATATTTGTGAATTTAAATTTTACTTTATCTTAATTTTACATGCTTTTCTCATTAAGCAGCTCACACCGCAGTGTTCGCACACATAGCACATATTGCTCCAGAAATAGCACGTCTAACTTACAGCCTGCCTGAACTGCACTTATCCTCACTCAGACACATGGTAAAGTCAAACGTGAACAGTGATACAGGGTTGTGGGTAATGAATATAAACTACTCCCAGGTGAGATTCCTACGATGCCCTTCATTTCTACCACATTTCTCAGAGAAACCAGAGCTGACAGAAAGAACATCTCAATCATTTTGTATCAACATTTGTAAGAGGCTTCAACATCTGGGTCGATCAGACAGGAGAGAACCATAGAAACACAGACGCTGCATTATAAAACTACTCTACAACTGTGGTTAGTGCTTCTTACTGTACAAACTCCTCTCCTAGACAGATTTCTAGCACTGTGAGGTTAACACATTTGGAGTGTGATTTACAGCACTGGCCTCTCCCACTCTCTTTCCTTCTCCCTCTTCCCCTCCATCCCTCTGCCAATGTGCCATAGATGTCCACTTCTAAATTTGTCTGAATGCCAGACAGAGAACTCTACACTCCACCCCCTTTATGACCTACTTCAATCATTTTTAAATCAATATAAAAAAAAAATTCCAGCTTTTTAAACATTCAGTTATCTAAGTCAATATAAAAAAAAAATCAATTCCAGCTTTTTAAACATTCAGTTATGTAATATTAAACAACAAATAAGTCCTAATTTGGATAGTTGTTTTAAGACATATAAGTCTTATTTTACATCTGACATTAACAGTTATGTTTCTCACCATTCTGTAGACCCGATGTGAAGCCTTCTTACTTATTTGCTCAATAGAGATTTCTCCACAGTGTAGATGAAAGTGTTAGTGAAACCAGAGTGTATTGTACTTCTGTCCTAGTAACCCCACCTCCTAGATGATTTACATCTTTGCATTAAAGATCGTAAATCAGTGCGGAAATAGCTCCTATGTTATATGGGAGTTAAATGATCAACAGGAATCATCCGTTAGTAAGTAATGCAAAAAAAAAAAAAGTCATTAAGACTCCCCTATAAGATACGAGCTCTAATGATGAAGGTATACAAGGCAAGCCTTAATCCTATTTCACCAGGAAATAAAGGATTAAGATGTGAGCCTTCTGTTTTCACTCTTCCATTGGACACTGGCATGGAGACATTCAACAGCACAGTAAGTCATACATTAAAAAGAGACTGACTAGAAAATCTAAAAAAAAAAGAAAACTTGTAATATTGGAAGTATGAGGTTCAACAGGTCACCTCAGTCAAACTGGTGTTGTTCTCATACTGGCACACGCCCAAAATGTATGTAACAGTATGCTGCCCATGTCAACTGTGCCATGTTTACGTCACAAGAACACCATTAATATTACTGTGGGAGCCTCATAACACTGCAAAAAAAAAGCTATTCTTCACAGATATTCTGATTTATGTTTTTCATCAGTTTTATTAACAGTTTGCTTCAGCCCTTGAATAGATTCTGAATGAAACAGGATCTTGCAGCAAAAACCAGCTCCGTAAACTGCTGACTGAAGCCGTGGTCATCACTTGACCAACTATTCATAGGTAAGTTATTACGTTCAACCTCCAGTTGGAAAAAAGGGAAAAGAAATGACTGGCTGTTTTTTTGTTTTTTGTTTTCTAAACGTGAATGTACATTTACTTACCTCCTCAATATACTCCACTTCCTCTCCCTCTTCTTCCTCTTCCTCATACTCCACATATTCCTCATACTCCACATATTCCGTCATTTTCAGACGGTGTTAAGGGGGTTTCTATGTAAAAGCACAGATGTGATCATGAGTCAAAGGAAATAGAGAAAAAGAAGACAGTCTTTTATGATTCACTGCTAAAGAATAATAAGTATATGTAAAAAATCCCCATTGAAATCAAATGAGTTTTAATGTTACAATAATAATGTAGCAAAAATAACACACTGATTTTGAACCAATGAACGTATGTCATACCAGCAAAAGATTCCTGCAGTATTTGCTGACAGTAAGGAGACCTGACTTGCCATCCACTGGGGTCACACACTGTTAGTCCAACTTTAAGATTTACCCCAGTCCTAAACAAAGTGATAATAGAAAATGTAAAAAAAAGAAATTCTCACATAAACTGCAATGTAATGCAAGCCCTAATATGTTGATGACAATAAGGTATGTCGGGGAATTCAATAAAACGGGCCTCTGCCTTTGAATCTGCCTAAGGCCACCGCCCCTCCTCCTCAACCTCCTTCTTAACTTGCCACAACACAGTCGGAAAAAAAAAAACGGTGCCTCCTGGCTGACGGCTCACGACAGCTGCCCAACAGCGCTTCAGCTATTTGACATGTAAGCTAATGCCACGGCCCGATTGGCTGGCTCTGTTTAGCAAATGGGGAGTCAATGCCTTCTGAGGCTGCAGGTTAAATATAGGATGGCATACTAACTCTCTTTTTTTAGCACTTGAATGAAATTTTGTTAAATTTAATGAAACTGTATTTAAAAAAGACAAGAGGAAGGAATATAGAAGGACTTAGTAAGAACTAAGGTGCTCAGATTTTGGAATTGGAAGCGAAAAGGCCTTGCTGCCGCTGCTCCCTCTGCTGCTGCTGCTGCAAAATCAGGTATATACAAAGGAATGGCAGAGTTGGCTCTTGTTGGAATCTTGAACTTCTGGGTCTTTTGGTTACTCCATCACAGACCAGTAGAAACTTCACCATCCTAATTCCTCTGTCATAGATCCTCTCAGATTCCAGTTGGCAGCAGAGAATGAAGATGATAGAAGTCCAAAGAGACGGAAAGCCATGCAGGATTTAGGAAAACGAGATATGTGTGTGCTTTAATTGCCTTTTCCTTTTTGCTTACCAGTTAACTTAAAGTTTAAATGGTCTCCCAAGCCACCAAAGCCTCCCCAGCTTCCCTCCAGAGAAACGCTGGGCGATAGCTCACAGCCGAGGTTTCTACCCAGGTTATCATGTGCTCGCTGCAGCCAATCACAGGCTGGCACTCTCAGGTTACAAAATCTAAATATACCTAAGTGATCCTCTCAGAAAAGAGCACCTGTTGAGGCCAATGCATCAGCGGTAGAGTTTTGAGGAAGGCAGTGGGGAACAAGTGTTGGTAGACTGAGGAAAATAAAAGCAAACTCCAGCTGAGACAACCTCAACCAGAGGGAATATGATTGGGGTTAATAGAGCTTGGTTTGAAAGTGGGTTAGAACAAGTCTACGGGTCTGAATTTGATCCCTTAAGGAGAGAATGTTAGCTACAGCTAAAGGTCTGGTGAGAGCAGCACGTTCCATATCTGTTGAGGTCATCTGTCAGCTACCCCTGAACTGACCAATGAATGTCCTGTCAAGAAGAACCAGGTCAATTTCGAATAGAAGAGCTGTGAGGTAGAAAAAAAAATACAAAACCATTAAAATAGATTCATAAATTTCTAAAGACAAGAATTGGTCCTCTATAAAGGAGTTTCCTACAATTTGAAAAAATAATACATTTTGAAGACCATAATCCAGAGTGTACCCCGCCTTGACTTGATGACTGGCAGGCCTTACTTCAGCCCCTCCTCCCACACCTTCCCCACAACCTTACAATGGATTAAGCTCAGAAGATGAATAAATGGTCAAAATTGCATTCAAATTTAAACTGAGTTATCTTTGTAGAAAAAACAGTCCTCTCTAGTCTCTACAGTACCTCTGTGCTATGTCATATATTTACTCTTACTCATAAGCCAGAAGCAGACGGTTGATGGACAGCAGCAGTTGATCGACTCACTCTACTCAACCCAGCCTGGGCGTCCGCTCTGTGATGTCCTGAATGACTGGTCATTAGCAACATCAATTCACATGCAACCTTGAATACCAATGCCGTAGGTGGATTCAAACCCATGACCTGCTGCATGGTAGGCGATGATCCTAGCACTGTTCAACCCCTGTCCGTGTCTGTTTTTATGTAAAGAATAGAATTGACTTTATTGTCATTGTACCAGAGGGATACAACAAAACTTTGGCTGCTCCCACAGAGCCATCATGCACCACAGAAAATGGTTTAAAAAGACCAGGAACAACACAAGACATTAACAGCACTCGTATGTCGATCCCCTCATATCTGTAATTGCTGTAATTTACTGTAACTGTAAAACTGTAACCTGAAATTAGCAATTTAATTCACTATGTTATGGTGTTAAATTTGTTCTTTTGCGGATTAGATTTAATTCGTTGACTGTTTTGTAAAGTTTTTGTGGCAGCTTTGTCATCTGTGTATCTTACTTTACTTATTTATCTAAGTACTCCTACTTTTTCTATGGTTTGTAGCTGACTGTGACCTTGTTATACCGCAGCTTGGTTAACATGCTGAATCATTAAGCATCTCTGAGAGATGAAGAGAGGAAACCAAATCGCATAATGCAAATACAAAACATACCACCCAATAATACAGATACAGTTTATATATTAATTCATTATTCCTGTAGAAACCGGATCATTTTACTTCGAGAGGTACTGTAAATTATCTTATATCTCTTATATCATACAAATAAAAAAAATAATATTTTGTATATTTTGTCTTAAAAAAATATATATTTATAGGTTATGAAACACTCATAACCTATGAGGACAAAATATCCCAGATATTACAAGATATCTGAATTCAGCTGCTTTCATATGATGCTTAGTCACTGGAAAAAATGACTGATGACCTGTGAGAGCAGAACACAACAGCTGCTGGAAACACACCCAACACTACCACCATCACAACAACAACAGCACTGCCAAGTGTCAGTTTTATCCCACGAACACCAAAGCAATGAATTCCAGTGAGGTAAGGGTTCCTAAAAGAAACCATTTCAACTGTCTAGCATCATAGTACATGATCAGCTGTTGGGGAGAAAACACTCTTGACCTGACCTTCCCAGAGGTGTCCATTATTGGTCTCAAATTAAAGACTATAGTTGTAGTGTGAATAATTAGAATAGAATTTTCACACACAATGCAGCCAACAAATCTGCAGCAACAGCAGATTTAGTTGAATAAAGAGAACCTTAATCTCTGAGGAATGTTTTTACCTACTTCTTTGTTTAGCTCTCTAGATACACGATTATTCTTAGACCAGGGTAAAAGGTATTTTGTTTAGGTATTTACATGTTGCCAAACAAAGGCTCTTTTAATACCACCTGAGATTGGTGTCTGAATCACACAGCAAGTCAACATACCAAGTGTTTTTTCTCAAACAACATGAAGTGCAGCAAATCATTACAATTATCAAATGGTTTGAGCCTCTTATACAGAACACTAAGAATGTGTACTGGATAGGTTAAATGCAACGGTCAAATTCTTTAAATGTGTGTGGCAGGTAACTCACAATTTTACTTCTCTAATTCCAATTCTAATTAAATATGATACCTAATATAACCTATATTTAAATTTTGAGACATATCCTGTATTTTGTGTAACAATATACTTATTTTGCTTGCTGTTAATATTTACATTCCTGAACTTGTCTTGTTTTAGCAAAATGCTTCTTAAAGTGTGGGGCGGGCCTTGCTGGGGAACAGAGACATGGCAGGTGGGGCCCAACAATCAGAAGGGAATTTTCAAGGTTCGGGGTTACTGGAACAACTGTGCTTCTATTTTCTCCTTTTTGAACTCAGTATTAGTTTCATGAATTTAAAATAGGGAATAACCAAAAGGGTTTGAGAATCAGTGCTTTAGCAGCTCACCTAAAAAAGAATTTGTTTCTATGTTTGCTTAGTTAGCTTAGTAACTTTAACTTTAATGACTGGACGTTATTAAAAGTGTTGCAAGTATATGTACAGTAGGAATTGGAACCTTTGAAAATATATTTTTTAAAAATTCATGATAACTCGTGGCGACATAAAGACGCCATTACTAATGCAACAAACTCATGAGGCTCATTTCAGACACAGCTACGACATAAATTACATCACAAAGTACCAATAAGAATGTAATAAAAGCAAAATATCGTTCAAAAAAATAAAAAATGTATTTTACTCACCAAAACTTGAGATTATTTGTACACAAAATCCATCATTACCTCTTTCCTCAAGTTGAGTTCAATTGCTTTGTTATACAGATTATCCGTCCGTTGCAACAAGTCCTTTTCTAACTCTTTCCATGCTAATGCTGAGTCTGTCATGTCGTATTTATTTATATTTATATTTATTTATATGTTTTACTTCGCTTCAGGCTGGTAATGTCCGCTTTAAAGAAGCAGTAGACGCAGAAAAGACTATCGACGTTATTAGCTAGAGTGTGTTATTCGACTATCCAAACAAATCACCCAAATTCGCCATCGTAATGGCGGGCCTGCCAGAAAGCCTAGTGTTGCCAACTGATTGGTTAAATCCTAACCAATCAGATTTTGAGTTCTTTAACCGGTAAAGAATTTCCATTCTGAGGGTCTCAGGGCAGATTTCCTTCACCCCGGAAACACGAGGCTGAAATATGATTGGATACAAAACTTTAGTATTTGCGACTGGAAACAGTGCAACCAACAGAAAAACGATTAAATAATTAGAACAAACTGCTCTGTATTATTTTAGAAATGTTTAAGATAAATATATTGAAAAATAAGTCACTGATACGGATACTGTTTAGGCCAACAGAGAAGACTTGGCTGGCGTTTTTTATTTTAGAACATAAAAAAGTAATAAATAGAATTAAGATTAAGAAGTTCTTTATTATTCCCACAATGGGAATTTACAATAACACCTTGAAAAGTTCCTATACGTAAGCTGCCCTGAGAAATAATATACAATTAATTTACATCTTCTGACTGATCCTCCCTCTCCTCTTATTAAAGCTGCCGTCTCCGCAACAAATGTGAGACTCTGCCCCCTAATGGTGGCACTACAAACTAATTTCAAGTTTCTATTTTTTGGAGAAACCCGCAATATTTTTGAAAAGTGCACACTCCCCCTATTTTTCTCCTTTACTTATGTTTTTATTTTACTTTATAATTATTTATTTCTTAATTATGTATTACTTATCGGATTTCTTTAATAATCATTATAATTCTTTGCCTTTGTACTCTGTCTATTCACATTGTTTTTTTGGTCATGTTTGTCCATGTTCCGGTAACGGGATGTTGTATCATGGGTGGATGGTGTTCAGAAATGTAATATCTTTCTGAACTATTTTTTTGTTTTGTTTTGTCATCAATAAACAATGACCTTTGAAGAAGAAACGTATTTCTAAAGTTACAAAGACCTTTGTAAAGAAGACAAGTAGCACAACAATCATGGGGGGGAAAAACACTAACTCCTTAGAGACAGAAATTCCCCTGAAACAGATAAAAACACTTTTATTTTCACTGATTATTTACAGAAACTGATGGGCAGAGGGTCATTGTGATTTGTCCCTCTGTACTGCATGTTTCAGTCGCCATCAGCCTTTGCGGCTTGAACGTTCAGCTGTAGGCACCGTTAAAAGAGAATACTGTACCGTACATACAGGAGAGGGGGCAATAACAATTGCCACAGCCAGTCCGGCAATACTGAAAGGCCACAATGGGCAGATTCTCATACAGCTGAAGAGTAAGTCCATGTATATCCAGGTCAAACACAAATCGCAGGTCAACACTGCCCCGTGTGTTTTGTTTTGTTTTGTTTTTTTTTGTCAAAAGGAAACCGTGCAGGAATTTGTTTTAAATAAAGAGTCTCTTTCACTTCCATGTCCTCCTAAAAGGTCACATTGTTTTGTGTTGCTCAAAAGTCACATTTGTAAAATAAATTATCACTGAAGAAAATACCCATCAGTTGCCCTTCTAGGACAGATTAACGGGTAATGTCCACTGGCTTCACCCAAACGTTTTCCCAATTTCAAGTTCGTAGGTGGAGGCAAATATAGAGGGGGAAAAAGAGAGAACTTGGAGGGCCACTTCTGGTCAAAGCCAAAGGTCATCATCTCACACGTAATCGTGACATCATCCACTCCAGACCCTGGCACAACCTGGACGTTAAACAGCAGATTGGGAAGATCGTAATGGACAGTGGTCATGAAAAAAGAGAGAGGAACAGAAACCAGTTAAAACCAGGTTTATACAATCACTGCATTTGTTTGCACAGACAAGATGGTTAATGTTAAGAATTTGACGAGTTTTGATTACTGCAGCAATGCATTTCTAATCAACGATTAGTCGACAACCATTAGATAAATGAAACACATTTCTTAACATATTAACGTTTTTTCTTAATTTTGGTCTCACTGTGGACAAAACTGGACAGAACTGGTCATTGACTTCAGACAGTCTCCCCACACACACACACTCTCTCCACACAAACTCCACTCTGCCTCAACAACCTTGCAACAGTAATAGACAAGAGTGCAAAGTTTCTGGGTGTACACATCACAGACAATCTCACGTGGACTCTGAACACGACACGTATCACTAAAAAAAACCCCAGCAGGATATATGTACTATATGAGGAAGCTGAGGAAAGCCCATCTCCTAACCTCTATCCTGACAACATTCTACAGAGGGGGCAACTGAGAGCATCTTCAGCAGCACCATCACAGCACAAAAGGGCCTGCAGAGAATTATGAGGAGGGCAGAAAATAAAAATCACCGGGGCCTCTCTTCCCTCCCTCACAGACCTTTTCAACAGCCGATGCCTGTACAAAGCCATGAGCAGTATCAGGGACACTACACATCCCTTCCATGCACTCTTCTCTTTGCTGCCCTCAGGGAGAAGGTTCCGCAGCATCACTGCCCACACATACGGAATGGGGAGAAGCTTCTTCACCCAGGAAATTAGACTGCTACATAATCCCTAACCACTTGACTTGACTGGCTCTTCACTCAATGACCAAAACCACTACACCATTATATTGTCTGATTCATCAACTAAGAAAAACAGTCAACTAAATCGACATTTTCTGGTAATAATTTGTTTTTTAATGCAAAGATAAATCAAACTGAGTATTAAACCCGTTTCTCACCCCTCCCCAGTCAGGGCACAGCAGGCCTGAATGTGCCACTGGTGGTCTTTAACAGAGGTAAGTTGAAGGCTTTGTGAAATCTCAGCTACAGACATGCAGCCTTTCACGTCCTGTTTGTTGGCAAAAACCAAAAGTCCTGCCTTTCTTAAATCCTGGAGGGAAAATGAGAGAAAACAAGACATGAGAAAACCATTAGAGTGATAGACAGTGTTGGGCGATCGTTCAAATGAAACTGCTGCAGTTAGGTTAAAACTCATTGATATAATAACACATTTACTGTACACATTTGAGTTGATTCAGGTTATGGGAGCAATACAATACGCAGCTATTTTGAAGTTTATGGCAAATCAATCAATTATATGGCAAACAGATATTTTCTGAGCCATCAGGTCATGGTAATCAATTCATCAACGGGTCATCCTCTGTTTTGGCAGAACTTCATTTAAAGGAACAGTATGATGTAATGGGCCTGTGCAATTTCTTGTCACGCAACAGCAGTTAGTATCATAGGTAATATCTCAAGCCTGGTTTGTATGTTGCATCACTAGTCTATGAAAAATGTGAGTAAGCAAATGAATTGTTCAAATGAAACTGCTGCAGTTATGTTAAAACTCATTGTCTATGAAAAATGTGAGTAAGCAAATGTGAACAATGTTAAGCCTATTTTACCTGGCATTAAACAAAACATTTTTAAAAATGAAGAAAAAGTAATCCAATTAGCATGAGTATTTTTGTGCCGCCTGTACCGCCCTCCATTGCGTCTGTGCGAAATTAAAGTCAGGTGTGTATTGTAATATTAGACAGTACTTGCAACAGAATACAATTACTCCCTGCGGATCTTCAAATTGATATATGATGCTGACGTGCTTTTTGTGCTTTAATAAATATACATATATGCGAGTACCTGTGAGAGACTTTTGTTGCATGGATTATTACTGGTCTTTGATCGCAGTACTTACTTCGTGTGCCAACATCCTATAGAGTTCCTCCTTGGTCACAGAGATCCTTTCTCTGTCTGTGCTGTCCACCACCACGATTACAAACTAAGCAGGAAAAAGGAAAGTAAAAAAAAAACAAAACAAAAAACAACGATTAAATTAACCGTTAACTGCAATGAAGTCTGACCACAACCTCTCAACAAGTTAAACAAGTAAAATGTTGTGGAAAAAATTGTCACATGAGATCCTGTAGCAGAAAAAAAAAAGCATTCAGTAAGACAAAATACCTCTCACCTCTGTGTTTGTGTAATACGTATTCCATGAGGACCTCAGAGACTCCTGACCTCCGATGTCCCACATAAGGAAATGAGTATTGTTCACGACAATCTCCTCCACATTGCTGCCAATCGTGGGAGAAGTGTGCACCACCTCGTTCATAGAACTACAACGTTCAAAAATGAGACGAAAGATTAAAAAAAACATATGATTAAATTAAGCACGTCGGAACAAAGACGATTGCAAAAACTGTATTTGTATACTTACAACTGATAAAGAATTGTGGTCTTGCCAGCATTGTCCAGGCCAACAATAATAACTTTGTGCTCTGCAAAAACATTTGACACACCTTTGAGACAATGCCCAGAAGACACAGTAACATTACTACATGGGCTGAGACTCTGGCAAGTCATCTTTTCAATCTGTTCTAAAGATGCATTTGGTGTGGCACGGCATTGAGCAGTTGAAACCATAGCACGCCCTTTTTTCTTTTTTTTTAATTGTACTTGTTTGAAAAACAAATACAATAATAGTTTCACACATGCAGCCTCACTGAGACGGTGTTGTGGTATTGACAGTGTCGCTACTGAGATCATTTACAAAGGGTGGTTTACCTAATGGATCTGTTCAAAAAGAAAAAAGCCTCAGCACAATGGTTCCCAACCTTTTTTGGCTTGTGGCCCTAACAAATTTCTGGCGACCCCAGAGACATTTCTTTTTCTAGAATTAGTTTTTGATCGTGATCTTTTGCAACTACAGAAAAGTACACAAAGTGACATTTTATTTTCCTTCGTGACATGCACAGTTAGTTGAGCCTATCTTTACTGCAAATGAACACTAAACTAACAATCTCTTTTAAGCAATGATTTATGAAATACAAGCTACTGCAGCATCTAAGACCAGTCACAGAGAAGAATCTGAAAGATGGAAAGTCTTACAGTGCTTATCTCAAATGTTGAGCTGGTGTTGACAGACACGGTTATTTGACATTTAATTTGACAATAATCTGTTTGCTAATCTCTACGGTCACTGCATTAAGGAACAATTGAAAAAGACATTTGAGCTATCATAATAATTAACATTCACACCATTGACCACTGAGATTGTGGGTAATAGTTAATACCTGTCCAACTGCGTTCCTATCAAACGATAAGGAAATGTGATGAACACGGTGTCAGTGTGACTCAGCCTGGAGTCGTTCACTGATGGCTATTCACTCCAGCGTTTTTCTGCTGATGTGGCCGACTTCACTGTAATCCGTGAGTGGAGCCTTTAAAGTGATAAACTGTTTACTGACTCAAGAACATCAAGGAGCAGACCCAGGAACGGTTTCACCAGAGATTAAACTACTTGTGGTGTGAATTTGGGGGAAAAAATGTTGTCCTTTTTATATAACTTCATTTAGTTTGTTACATGCAATTTCACTGTAATTTGTAATTGTCAATGAATTTACATTTTTTTCCAGTGTAATCTATTGTTTAATAATTACAGTAGTGCCACATTGCACTGCTAAAAGAGATGTGCAAGTAATTAACAATTGGAATGAAGAGTATGCAGTTTCTTCTTTCACAATTAATAAAATGCTGTCACTAAGAATATAACAGTCCTAGGCAAAACTGATCAAATAAAGAGTGTAGATTTGAAGTTGAGAAATGGGTGGAGATCAATAGATAATAAGGCAAAAAATCTAAGATTGTTGAGCTCCTTTATTAAACTGAGGTATAGGTCATAAAGCAATTAGGTTTTAAGTCATTTTTATGGTGCTTACTGGTCCAACAGTGGTTTGATAGGTTTTACTTTTACTTTATTTCTTTTTACACTTTGGACTTTTTTGTTTGTGCGTTTTTGTTTTTTTATGTTGTTTTTTTTTTTACTGTATTTTATTTGAAGTTATGGACATTTAGGGGTTGTCACTGTTAACATCCTGACATGTATCTATCTGGACTAGCAGATTTATTTAAATGTATTAAAAACATTTACAAATTTATTTTGGCGATTTTATGGTGAATTGTGAGCATTTTGAGGTAGAAAAATAACTGCGATTTTATGGTGAATTATGAGCATTTTGAGGTAGAAAAATAACTGCCGCATCGTTGAGAAAAATAAATGAAATATTGTGGTGAATAAGGGTTACATTTGTCCTAAAACACAAGGGAGGTAAATACTGAATACCAAAAGAAGGCAACGTAACAGAGTACACATTGAATATTACGATGTCCTTTGATAAAACCGGGCTTGTTGTCACTTGTCAAGCGTAAGAAGTCACTCTAAAACGATCGACTGTAGAAATAAACCGTCTTTATCAGCGGCCTTCTCTCACCATTGTGTCCAATTCACCTCTACGTTTCCATCGTATCTTATTCGTTGCATTTACTCTTACCTTGGTGATTAAAAAGCCTCCATAGTTTTGTGAATAGTATCCCCATGGCTGTCAACACGTTCTTTCGTCGTTCCAGGCTCACAAGGATACAAACTAATTTAGCATAGCCTAGCCTAGCCGGCTAGCTCGCTAACTCCGCAAAACGACGACTTTTCAACGCACGTACGTACTATCGCCATACTTTTATGCGTAAATGGCGTCCATATCTCTTCAACAAGACACGTAATTAACCAGGACAGTCTTTTTTGACTCCAAGAATCTAAAGAAAAACGAAACACTTAACCGCTGACTGACATCAGCTGTCCGTGCAGTTAAAGCTCCGCTCGTTTAGCTGTCAAACCTGCACATGCGCCGTAACACTGGTCTACACTTCGGCAGAGCAGCAACTTTTAGGTAATTTTTGGCTAAATAAATATTGAAAATTAATTACAAAGTCAAATTAACTTGACTCAAGCCAACTTTAAAAAGTAAACACTGGGTTATATTAATATGCAACATTCCGCATTGACTTCGCATAGAAACTGGACAGAGCTTTTCCGCTAATTGTGAAGCCACTGAAGTCTGTCAAACGGGTACAGTAGTACCCACATCATTTCTTAGAACGGAAGTAAATTGATATTAATAAAGTAAAAGGGGAGTTTTTGTGAGTGTATGGACAGCCAGATTATCCAGTTGGTGTTTGGACATATGGAACCATCAATTGAAAGTAAATAAGCACGAGTGTATGGACAGCCAGATTATCCAGGTGGTGTTTGGACATATGGAACCATCAATATTTTTAATCTTTAGAAGCCTGGGAATTGTCCTTAAATTGAAATAATTATTTGTAAATTATACTGTATTTTTGTATTATACTGTTTCTGCTTTTGTATTTAATGCATTAAATAATATTTGGTGTTAATACTTCTGACCTGTTGTATTGAATATATATTTACATATATATACATATAAACTATATATACAGTATATACAGACACATAGTGTTTATATATAATTTAAATTATATATAATTTAAATATATAATGTAAATTGCTGTTAATTTACAATGAATGCATTTTTATTTGTTTTTTGTGGTTATTATTGTGTCCCACCTATCTATTGTATAATAGACTAAACTAAAATAGTTGCTATTATAGAAATATGGAAGCAAATGGTAAAAAAAAAAAAGTGTTTGCTCAAAAGTGTTTGCAACAATAACAAGTGTGATCAATACAACAGCATCAGGGCAGTTTATTAGTTACAGTTGTAAAATGACACAGTGCACACAAACTTCAAGTCAATATGCATCATTCTCTCACAGGCAGTTTTATGTTTTCCTTTTTATTTATAGCTTATTCTGCAGAGGGTTTTTTTTTTTTATAAACAACAACACTATAACGCTACTGTATGTGGCAACTAAGAACATGAGTCTCTTTGTCCAAGTTCCTTTAAAAACAAGTCACTAAGATCAGAGCATAAGAGCATAGGACTAAGAAAATGAACGTTTCCAAAGCTAAAAGACCATGTCACTTAAAGTTGATGTGTGACTGTGACTCCTTCTAATTAAAAACTGGTTTGCAAGGAGCTGTTCTATATTTAAACAAGACTAATAACGCAGCACTGTCCTGCCAATTGCTTTCTATGTTATTTTCTACTGACCTAAAATTAAACTATTAACAGCTGCTATTCTTCTTCTGCTAACATTACTCTATGACTCTTAGATTTTTTTTTCTGGCTGACCGTCGGAAGGCATGTGCAAAAACTAAAAAAAAAAAAAAAAAAAAAAAGTTTTCATTCAATTAAAATTTCAAATTTCACTTTGTTTTTTTTATGTGACAGTATTTACAAATGGAAGCTCTCAGTAGAAGTAATTCGGTAAAATCCTTTGAAAATGATGCTCGCTTGACTTGACAACACTAGCTGATCATCGCATTACATATGAATTTTCGTGCAGGCACAATCATTCCAGTGTATCCTGAGGATTTGTTATTAAAGGGATAGTTCAGAATTTTTTTAAAAGTGTGGTTGTATGGCGTAGTGGGATGTGGCAGACACAGAAAACTATTATCAATATTTAGCAATATTTTAAGAATACTTTTTGAGCAAATGATCTTACTACAAAATAGCACTGTCAGACGTGAAACCAATTTTTTTTTTGTACCCCCGCCCCCATTAGAAGTTATGGTTAATCACAGAATGCTATTTTTTCACAAGGTTCACTTGAGCATATAAATATATAGTATTAAAAAAGCTCCTAAATGTCAAATTTTATATTTTTTTTCCTGTCCTCAAAAGAAAAAAAAAAATCAGTTTACTGCCCACATTTTTGTCAGGCTCATAAAACCACACTTTAAATAAACTCAACTATCTCTTTGACTGCTTTTTTTTTTGTGACACCTAAATCATGACATCTTCCAAAACAAATTTACACAACCAAACCCCCATTAGATGGGACAGAACATTAACGCTACATCTCCGTCCTGAGCTTTGGAGCTTTGAAATAAATTAATTAAAAAAAAACAAAAACAAAAAAAAACACACACAAGCATCAGCAGTGATCTGATTTTTTTTTCTATATTCCTGCGTTGATACGGTTATGACAAAGAGGTGGAACGACTGAACACGCACAAGGAGCTACATGTCGTGTTGCATTTCTGTCTGCGAATCTAGTTTCGATGAAGCTCACACCGGAGGGCAGTGACAAATCAAACAAGAGAATCATTAAAGAGAAATTAAATTTTGCTTCCATCAGCTCCGGATTGCGTGCAAACAGGCTCCGCCGTCCTGATCTCCACCCGTGCTGGATGCTCCTGCTTTCTGGCTTTGGACTTGGACTTCTTCCTGCTTGCTACCTGTAACAGCTGTGATGGTGGGCTGGGTTTCTGAAGTAATCTTCACTCACACTTGGGACATTTACACAGCAGCTCCAGTTTCATTTTTCCCTCGTCTGGTCCTGCGCTACACTCAGTTTTTTTTATTTCTTCTTCGTTCAAATGTCCATTTAGCTAAAGACCGGAGGAAATATGAGGGTCTACACGTCAATACTCAGTCTGAATGAGTGTAGTTCGTTTTATCATGATACAGTAAAGCCGCTTCAGCTCCCAGGGATCACGGTGGTTCTTCAGAGAAGGACACACCTCAGATGACAGTTAGAGCTTAAAGCCTGTGTCTGGACTCCTGGCTGTAGCCTCCAGGTGACCCCCGGTTACGATGAGGCTTGTAAGAGTCCTGGTAAGGGTCCTGGAAGTCCTCCTCCATCAGAGGCGAGTGGTCCCGGCTCTGCTGTGACCCGGACGACAGACGATTCCGATTCTTTCTCACGCGCTCGTTGTTATGGTAGTTCTCATCGGCGGGCATCAGGCTGCGACGTTCCACGGCCGAATGGTCTGTCGTCGTATGGTTGCTGTTCCGGTTTCTTTGGGCCTGTTGGAAAGAGGAATAAAGAATCAGTAGCTGCTGCCAGATCAGCAAATACTAAACTTCCACTTCCACTTCCACAGATTTAACTTCAAAATGATAGGTTTTGTTTACTAATATATATACACAGTATATTTATACTGTATATTTCTGTTTTAAAGTACTACGTGTACCTGAATGGCAGCAGGATACGGTGACAGAGCCGTGGAGCCCAGGTTGCGTCCCAGCAGCGGGTTGAGCGGCGTGGTGAGGGACGTGTGCGTAGCTCGCCAATAGGCTTCCAGATACTCTGCCAGATGTTCACAGGCGTCCTCCAACTGGTTCTCATCCAGGATGATGTCAAACATTTCCTGCGGTCGTACAGGAGGGCCGACAAATTGACGAGTGATTTCGATATTTGCCTTACGAGTTCAGTGTAAATTACAACAATTACGACAATTAGTATTTTGTTTGTATTGCGGTAGGTTCCGAAAATATCCATAGGTCAAGGCGAGTCAATTGTATTTGTAGTTTTAACATTAGAATTGTAATTGAAACGTCCTACTGAAAAACTATATAACAAAGTTAAGAGTTACACAATATATATATATAAATATATATATATACATATATTTATATACATATACACATATATATATACATATACACATATATACATACACATATATACATATATGTACATATATACATACATATATACACATATATAGTCAACGTTCATACTGATTTATTTACTATACAAAGTAAGGCAGACTAGGCTTCACAAAAAGGTATCAAATATATACAGCTCACTACGCTCCTTAATATGCCATTTATATATTATATGTAATCTAATTTCTTATTTATCACAAAACGTATTTCATACGGATCTTGCTATGAACTGCTGCGTTGTACAAAGTGTTTTTGTACGGAGAGCCAGCCCTAATTCGATCAATCTGAAAACAGGGCAGGTAAAACCAGATCTGATGCGCAACGGCTGTAATTTGATACCAAGCGTAAACAGTCAGCCCTAAACTAGCTAACACTTGTCGTTGGCGCTGTCAAATTTAACATCCTAATCATGCTAACTAATTTCTTTGATTACATTTCTTGGTGAGAGAGGTATATAGTATCTTTCCGCCCCAAGAAAATACAGGAAAAAACCCAATTATCCTGATAAACTGTGATCGCAATCGATCACGATTAATCGTGACTATTCCGCAGGTGCCGTGTGATTTTTCTAAAAAGCTGAGTTTTCACGTTTTGTTGACTCACAGAGGGACACTGTGACAGCTTTTCGGCTGCAACCAGCTGAACGTTCAGGTGTTTGCTTTGAGATTTCCCTCTGGATTTGATCAGCCGCTGCAGAACCTGTGGGAAACACACACGCAGAGTAAACAGACGGGTGACGACAAGACACTGAAAACAAACCGCACACACACAGGTTTACTACATCGTCTTCTGGGAATCACAGAGGTTTTTACATCAGCATTCCAGCTACTACTGCACACTTGCACCCTTGTCGGAGTGAAATTGAAAGTGGGGCGAGTTTTAACACGTCTGCTGGAAATTCCAAACCTCACCGACACATTACCTCATTTGTAGTACTGTACAAAATCTCAGGAGTAAAAATATTAGCGATAACCCCTACCTTGGGTGAGGACACCTTGACATGGACAATAATGGGCGCTAATGAGGTCTTGATGAGCTGTGCAGGGTGGTTGATGGTGTCCGCGTCCAGCACCACCAGCTGTAGAGAGCGGGCCAGCTCAAAGATCCTCTCGATCTCACTCTGGACCTCGGCTAGAAAAAAAAAGAAAAGAAAAGGAACAGCAGCAGGGAGAAGGGAACAAATCAGTCGTGTTCTAGAGGAACGTGAAGGTTTGTGGGAAATATTCATCCTGTCCAACCGGAGCGAATACTGCATGAAAAGAAATGGACGATTGATGTTTGAATTTGAGTTCATTTTTGAAATTGCATTGAAAATACCACCCTGCCAGAAACGCTGTAATCACAGAAGTAAAATACTCTTCCCTTTGTGACTGATATCTCCGACTGATCACTAACAGTACGGGTGCAGGCACGGTGTCTTACTGTTTACATTCCAAAACTGGAAAACCGACCAATCAGCAGCCTGACTACTACGTCCATTGGTTTACACACAGTCTCCGGTGCCGGTCCAGCCAGGATGTGCACATCATTGAGTTCTGAACTTCCTGTAAGTTTTACCAAGGCTGGAGCGCGTGTTGGATCTCTCAATGATGGCCCTCTTACTTGGGTTGTTTAGTACTGACCTCTTGGCCAAGGATATGTCGGCTGTTACCCTGGTAATTGATATCCTGCCACACAAACAAAAAAACCCACAAATATGACACAAAACACAAACCTGTGGGTGAAATATGACTAACGTTTACTACACAAACGTGTGGGTGAAATATGACTAACGTTTACTGAGCTGTGACTACACACCTGCCGTCAAACCTGTGCTTCAGGAAGTCGAACAGAGCTTTCTGCATCATATCTGTCACCTGAGAGCAGAAGTGGAGAAGAGATGGTGGCAAAAGCAGACGGTTACTCTCTCTTCATATAAATATATATATATATATATATTAGAATGGTTATGAAAGTATTTCAACTAAGGATGCACTGCTTGTGAAACTCTGGTCCGATGTCTTTCTTTTTGTTGTTTCTTCTCTCTTTTGCGCCACAGAAACATCACTAAACTATTGTACGTAATGAGCACAAATTCAATCAGACAAATTTATGAAACAAACGCAACCCTTAACGACAAGTTTTAGTTGATATTTAAGATCATTTGAATTTTTTGGAATTTTTTTTAAAAGCCCTCTCAGACTAACTTATCAATAAAAAGAAGTTTTCAGGACTAACGCTGCCCAACAAAATTAATTTTATGGTTTCAGCCTGATGAACAAAATGTCAATCAATTAGATTTTTTTTCAGTAGCGATAACAAATATTTTTTGTGAAAAATAAAAATACATCAAGTGTAAATGTAAATCAATTGAAAAATAAATCAAATTTTAAGTTTTTTTTCTCTATGTTTTGTTTTATTAAGTGGCTGAGCCTGAGTCATGTGGTTCCCATGATGCATCGGTGCATCCCTAATTTTTTTTAAAATATTTTTTTAAATATCTTACTCTTATATTTCTCATATTTTTAATTGATGAGGCTGTTTCTGTACAGGCAGGTGACTGGGATGGCACTGAGAACCAAAACAGTAAAATATTAAATTACAAAAATTATACTTAAATCAGGATGAAAGTTAGTCTGTATTTATTACCTCATGATCAGTACAGAACTATCAGACTGATGCAGATCAGGGGAAAATGACCAAGACGGTATGACAAAACTTCCTATTTTCTGTCTTATTTTGAATCCTGCCCTACTTTTTTTTTCGACTGACACAATTTAGAGACGAGGATGTAACCACGGCAACACCAGAACTGAGAGCTAGACTGGGAGAAGCTTCCCACGTCCGTGTTGAACACGGCCCCTGTGTTACTATTCAATATATATTCTGACAAATATCTGCTTTGGTTGTGAGACAGGAGCAGGTAATACCTCGTAGCCTTTGAGGGAGGGTCCAACCAGGACGACTGGTCTCATGGAGGGAACCACATCGTAGGGAGGAACGTGTTCAGTCTGGAGGCATTAGAACACAAAATTTCGTCACACACTTCTGCTTTCACTTCACTTCTTAGACAGCTTCTTAGACTGTCACCAGACAGGGAAGTTGTTCGGTATCATGTTATTTCCAATTCTACAACATGCAGCAGACAGAAGATTAGCATAGCGCTAAATCAGGAATAACTTAAAGTTAGATAGAAGTTCAAAAGGAAAACATTTTAGTATAGAACAAATGCTTTTAATCAAGAATTAAAAATTAAAGCCTTACTAAGGATCATTGGTATTAGCTCTAAGCTAGGTCTCTAAGCTAGGTCTAAGCTAACGTTTTGTTATCTCCTGTTTTTAGTAGCTTACACGCACAGACACACACACCTTCTTTGTCTTCTCCATCTTCGTCTTCTCCTCCGCTAAGATTAAAGTTCTCTAGGGTTATGTTTTGTTATTTGTTGTCCAACCTTTTATTTTTTCGCTAAACTGTAGCCAAGTAGCCATGTCAAGTTTGTGTTATTATTAGCTTTCTCTTTAGTATTATTTAGCTTCTTCTTGTCTTTTGAATAGATCATTTTCAAATTCTAGCTTATGTTTTGGTGTAGTCAATGTGGTAAAAAGAAATGTTATATCTTAAGTTATTTCTCAGCTAACAATCTTTTCTACCAGCAAACCAATAATGTAAAAAGAAAACTCACCACTTTCTGTTTCTGTTTGCCTAAAGACAGAAAAAGGATGAAGTGAATAAACAGCAACCGAACTAAAACCGCGGCTGAAATTGAGTTTCTATTATATAAAGGTCGTTGATTTTCCTCATGTCTCATATACTTCACAGACCTGCAGAGTTTGGGTTTCCTTTGAATGTTCCTGACACCATTTCTCCCAGACTTGAGGAAGAATTGCCACTGGACTTACTGCTGCAGTGATACAAGACAGAGAAAAAAATAAGAAAAAATAGAAAAGTGTTAAAGGTTGAAAAACATGTGCTAAAGTGGGAAACTATAATCACAAAAAAAAACCCCCAGAAACCAGCAGCACTTGGGAGAAGGTGACACTCATAGTGATTACTGATAATTATTTTAATGAAAAAAGGAAGACAAGAGTCAACCGTCTCCTTCGTCCATGAACCAAAATGACTGAGAAGTGACTCTAAACTCCACATCCTTTATGTCAACCTTGTCAGACGGAGGCCTTTCTCTCTTTGTCTCTCTTGCACATTTGCAAACTGCTCCAGTTCCAGACTCTGTGCCATCTGTCCAATGAAACCCTACCCTCATCTCCTCTTTCTTTCTTTTTGTTTCCCCCCTCCTCCTCCTGCACTCACCCATGGAAACGTCCTCTCTTCTGCTCCTGCTGGATTCTGATGTTCTCCAACTTCAGCGGACTCGGAATGAAGCCAATGTCACAGCCTTCCTTCACCAGACGGCCAATCCACCAGTCGTTATTGTACTTCTATAAAACAAAGAGATTAAAATGAGTTTAAACCCAGGACCACTGGGTTCTAAAATACTCAATGCCCCCTGCTGGACAGTGATGGAACTGAACCTCTTTGATGTGGAGGAAGTCCTTGGCATCGAAGGAGATGCCGGTACCAGCCACAGGAACATCTTCATCCAGAGCTCCGCAGTAACTGACATTAGTCCTCACGGCAAATGCCACCGATTTGGACTGAAAGATACAATTTGAGATAAAAAGAAGTAGTTTAAGCAGATGTTGTAGTTTTAGCAGATGGCTATGAGTTAGCCAATCGGTATTATCAATTTTAGCATATCAGCATACTTATGTAATATCTTTAAGAACATTATCGTTTCATCACTGCACACAACGAAATGTGTCCTCTGCCTTTAACCCAGGACTTCTCAAATAGTGGGGCGGGGCCCCCTGAGGGGGCGCAGTGAGGTGCCAGGGCTTCCAATAGAATATGGCACACTGGACATAAGTGGACCACTGCTGTAATGCTTGAATGATAACAAGCCTCCAGTCACTAGGTGGCAGCACCTCATACAGTGGTTTGTACAGATAAAAATATATATGTGATCAGGTTCTCTAACTCAGGGGTGTCAAACTCCAATCCACAGTGGGCCAAAATTCAAAACTGTGACAAAGTCACGGGCCAAGCTTCATATTTATTGATAAATTCATCATCTAAAGCCACTCCTCATTGTTGCCGATCTTTGAGAAGCCTGGTGGACACAGAGGTCCACTACATGTCCATCTGAAACTTACTTTTGCTCTGTCCAGCTGGACGGTGGCCTGCTGCTCCTTCTCCTGACGACCTCCCTCCTTCTCCTCCTCCAGGGAAACATCCGAGTCTGACGGTCGGCTCGTGTAGGAATCAGCTGAACCCTGGAGGACAACCGGAAACGTTAGGAATGTGTGGAAAAAAAGATGATGAAGAAGCAGCAGCTAACAACAAACAAACTAACCAGCCAATCATCAAACCAAGTCTCATCAGCCAACCAACATGTTGGAAAGTCAGAGAATAAATGAAAAAAAAAAAAAATTTTAAATTTAACAGACAAACATAACTGAAATTCAAAATGTGGAACCTGAGACTCATCGTCTTCGTCAGGTCGTGGGGCATTTTGATGATGCACAAGGTTAATGTAAAACTTCTTCTACCCAGCAACTCCTCATCACCCCTGTTACCCTCACCAACCACTACTCTCACCCCTGGGCATATCTGTACGACTTCAAGGATCATTACATTTTCAAAATAAAAGATCTTTTATTAGAGACGTAGCGTCTGAATGACCTATTGTTTTGAAACAAAGTAAAGGATATGACTGGATTCACTGCCCACCCGTACCAAACGACCTACGGACCAATACTAGTCCTCAGACCAGGGGTTGGGAACCCATGCTCTCAAATTCCTCTTTCATTTCTATCTGACATCCAACTTGTGGTGTGTAAGCCCAGACCACATTCAGAGTCCCACCCTCTACTCCATCTATGACAATACTCTGGAAACCATTCTCTGGAATCGATCTCTTCTCTGGTAATCTTCACCACAGTCCAGAAGCTAATGTTCCTCTCTCCACTGTGTCTGCCAGCTCTCTACCTTCACCAGTCACTGTTCATACAGTTCATTCAGAGTTCTTAGTCGTTCCTCTACACTCCAGCCTTCCCTGTTCTCTTCTCGTTCTCACTGTTCTTTCAACCGACGAGCCCGTTTTCGATTGTTTCCGATCTGGTATTAGATCCGCACGATTGTTTTGGCACTTCCTGCACAACCTTCACCGACTTTTCTGCGCATCGAATCGGCACAGAGAAGACTTAAAATGAGGCCCCCTAGTGGCTGGGGTTTTTGTCTATTTTTGAATGCTTATTTCTGATTTCAGGTCTACTGTATATCTATAGGCGTTTTTACGGGTTAGGCGTCAAACAAAGAGCCAAGAAAATAGGTGAGGTCCTTTCTGTGTTCCATTGTCGAGGCTTCTCTTCCTCAGTACGGGCATCTGGAAGTCAATTGTAACTTTTTGTTGTTCGGTGACCTCGTGGGTATCATGTTGACAGTGAGGCAGGTGACGGTGTATCTTCTTTGTGTGGCAGAACAAAACACAAAACCCGATATATCGAATTACACGCGTGTTTGCCTGCCGCAATGGCGCGCAACACTGGGAGCAGCTGCAGATGTGAATTCTCAAACACGCCAGGACCGGACGAGGAAAGTGTTACAAAGACTACAGCTGAATCATGCTAGCCAAACCCCGGCTAAACACTTCTTAAGCACACATTAGAACATTTGTAAACACAGCTAATCCGTGAGCTTTCACACATGTCTCTAGGATTCACACTACAATCTGAGGCTTTTTTGACCTTTTTGTGTTTTTAGATGACAACTGATGGGCAGCATAAATCTCTCCAACAATGGTTCGCAAAAAAAAAACCAAACCCAATCATGCACTGCAGCTCTGTCAACACAGAATCCACTTGTAAAAACACACCTGATTGGAGCAACTCCTGCTCATCAGGTTGGACAGATTAGACTTCTTGTGTCTCGTGCAGTGTCACCTGATGGACGTCCGACGTCCAGCACGTTTAGCCAATCAGGTTGAGGAAAACCGGACTCAGCACAAATGTTCATCTAACGCAGTAGTTCTCAAATAGTGGGGCGGGCCCTCATGGGCGTGAGGGGCTTCTAGTGGAATATGGCACGCTGGACACGAGTGGACCACTGCTGTAATGCTTGAATGATGACAATCCTCCAGTCACTAGGTGGCAGCACCTCATACAGTGGATGGTACAGATAAATATATATATATATATGTTATTGGGTTCTCAATAGGATTTCAATTTATGGGGGTGAGGGTCGGGGGAAAAAAATGTTTCTGTCCGCAAGGGGGAGCCAGGACAGAAAATAATTGACAGATGACATGGCCGGTTACGGTCCACGGGCCGTATGTTTGACACCGACAACGCTGTATTTTTCTCCACATTGTTCACAACAAAACAGGCTGAAAGACTAGAACCTTGTGGTCACGAGTTGATGTCATGAATCATCCGCACAATTTGTTCAACGTCTGACAAAGCTACAGGACGCAGACAGGACAGGACACCTATTGTCTACTATATTACAGTGTACTGCGTTTCACTGTAAATGTTAACCAGCTGATCCTGATCAGATAAATCATCTGTTCCTGTGTGAGAGTCCGTGCTCCTGGTAATTGGACAGGATGTTGTTGTTGGAGAACAGAGGAGGAGAAAGTGATGAGCACAGCAGATTTTAGAGGCGATACATCATGTGTGGGTCCTGATGTCTAATAAGCCTTCGTAAGCATGTTTTCCTTCTCATGTTAGCTTTGCCACAAATGATGTGTGTGTGTGCAAATAAACACACGCAGAATGTCGTTTTTTGGCGTTACTGTTGTGCAGTGTAGTCGACGGACACAGCAACCCAACCTGGGGTTTGGGGACCAGATACAATCTACCCTGGGATCATGTTCACCCATCACCTTGGTCAGCAGGGGGCAGTCAAGTGCCCAGTCATGCTCAGCGCAACGACAGCTGGTGGACTCGAACCTGCGACCTTTCGGACCCAGGTCCGCTTCTAGAACCATGTATGTAAGGCCCGGTTTTAAAGGGAAGACTGTATCGATCAGGGGTGCCCAACCCCTGGTTTGCAGACCAGTACCAGTCCATAGGTCATTTGGTACCAGGCCGCAGTGAGACACAGTGATTGATTATAAAAGCTTTTAATTTCTAAGGTTAAGAAACTCTGCTGCATGGACTTTACTAAATGCTTTTAAGCTCCCGCGGGCCACAAAGAACAACTTGGCGGGTCGCATTTGGCCCCCGAGCCTTTTGTTTGACACATGTGATCTTAACCTACACAGCACTAATTGTTTAAATAACGATTGCAAAGAGCAATCTTTGAACACAAGATACAATTAGCATTTCCAAAGAAAATAAAGAAAGATAGATTAATGACGTATTATTGAGAGGCAACCACAGGATTTTAGCGTCAGCGACAAAAAAAAGAAAAGAACCGATACTGGAGCATCTATCAATAATTTAATGAAAATAAATGGTGAATGTGGCAGAGAGGAATTGAAGGGCAGTAAGTCTGTGGAATCAAAGTGCCAGAGTGGACACAGTGAGGATTAATGTCCTCTGTCCACAGCGTCCAGGCGCCTGTGCTAATGATCCGCTCAGAGCCACGGGACTCTTTCCTCCAAACAAATAACTGTTATTTACTGCCTCATTACAAATAAAATCTATAAGTGCACAGAAAAAAGGGAAGAGGGAAAAAAGCTACAGCTCAGTGCTGAGAGAAACAGAGTTGGAAGAAGAAAAACAGAAGGGGTTTTATCTCCAAGTCCTGGATGTTAGCGGAGAATAATACAAACTGCCACTGATTATATTCTTCTGACATTAAAATGTATTAAGAAATATTTATAATATTATTGTATTTTTGTATTATGTATTTGAGTTGTATCCAGTGACAATATAATTATTCTCAAAAATTTTAACTTCTAATATATATGTATATCTATATATATACATATATATGTATATATATACATATATATATACATATATACAAATATATGTATATATATACATATATATATACATATATACATATATATGTATATATATATGTTGTACCACTGTAGATAAATTACTTCTTAAACCAACCAACCCACCCTCCAGTTAACCAGTTAACCAGTTAACCATCCATCTATTCAAGCCAAAGACCCGGAGAAAAAAAAAAAAAGACCACTAAAGACCACTGAACCAACTGACTGAGCAGTCAACAAACCAGATATCCAATCACCATTTCAACAATTAGTAGACCCAAAAAAAAAGTATTACTAAAAACAACCATTAAATCAGGGGTGTCAAACATATGGCCCGAGGACCAAAACCGGCCCACTAGGTGGTTCATTCCGGCCCCCATGATGAATTTTGGAAGTAGAAAATGCACACATATTTTGTGATGTTGTATATAAATATATTGTATATATTAATATTTTCTAATATAATTGTACTTATTTGCATGAAATCAAAGGGGGAAAAAACTAACTTATAGTTATTTAGAGGTAATTATGTTACCTATACCACAAAGGCGTTCAGGTGTCATCACAGTAAACGGCCACACAAACAACCATGAAACTGACCAAAAAAAAAAACCAACTCACTATTATTGTACATTGTATAAACATTGACAATGACTGTGTACACCTCTAGTTTCTGTTTTGTGAATTTGCGTTCCACAAACAAAACCGTCTGGACTATCTCATCCACCAAAATAGGACAACCTAAAAAGTAACTAACCAAACGCCAGACGCCATCACCCGTCTGTCTCCTTTGAACACACACACACACAAACACTCTCAGTGACTTGTGTGTGTGCCCATTATCTGTGTGTGTGCGTGTGCGTTAAGTGCTCAGTCTTGACTCCATCACTCATTATCTGTGTGTGTGTGTGTTAAGTGCTCAGTCTTGACTCCATCACATCACACTCCAGTCTTATCGGCTCAGACGCCACAGCCCCGTCTTCCTCCTCTGACCTGCTCTGCTGTCAGAACCAGGAGACAGATGACAGATCCAGGCTAAAACCTTGTCTCCGTCTCCAACCTGGAGACCAGAGGGAGGCCGATCAGAACCTCCGGACATGAAGATCCTCAGGCTATGAACTCCCAAATACTAGTCCATAATGAAGATATTGGTGTCACACGCGAGGAGACGTTTCTCGATTACCTGGAATGAACTGATAGCTTTCCCAGGAAGCTGCTAATAACAGCTGTTAGTTCTCTGGTCCGACCATGGTCCCCCAGAGTCAAGCCAAGTCCTGATAACAACCCACAGGCAGAGTGAGAGTCCAGAACGTCTGTGTCGGA